CCAGGCTGGGGATTCGAACCCGCCACCTTAGGTGTATGTGGCTGGCACCTTAGCCACTTGAGCCACAGGCGCCCCCCTATTTGTTTTTAAAAACAATAGCCCCCCTATTTGTTTTTAAAAGACTCTTGCACTTGCCCAAACTCAAGGATGTTAAAATCTAGCACATAAAGCCTATTTCTAGAGGTAGAAATACAGGCAACACTATTATATATACTATTATATTATGGCAATAACCATCAATTATAGTTAAGAGTTTTTGGTAACAACTAAATGAATAATCACATACTGCAACAATACAAGTATTACTGAGCAAAGCACCTTTTCTTATGGAGGCCCTATTCTAGGAGGAACTGGGGCTTGGTGAGGGTCGGGGAGAATAGAGTACAGGGCAGGGGCTCATTGCAAAAGGTCTGGGGTACCGATGGGGTCCATGAGGCATAATGGGCTGGTGGCTTCTGCCTACCCCACCTTGCCCTCTCTTTTATCTGTTTTGAGTGGCTATAGGAGAAAAGTAGTCATGGATGGAGGCCAGTCCCTCCTCCTGGCCTCCAGAGGCTGAAGTGATCCAGGCCATGAGTGCTCAGGAGCCACAGGGAACATGTATGCTGCCTATTTCTGGCCCACTCAGAGATTATGATGGGAGGCACCCACTCCAGCAGCTGTCTCCCCATTTCACCCCTCCCCACATGCGCTCTTCTGTCTCTGCTATAGCACATCTGACTCCAGGCTAGGGGAAGTCTTTTGATGAGGCATAACGAGGGGCATTGTAGGGATTGCCTAAGCCTATAGAGAGGTTGCATGTCCCACCTTCCTTTCTGTTGAAACAGCTCAGGATAGCATGGTCCTCTGGGCCTCAGGACACCTGGGGAAGCCTTGGTTAAAAGGGTGTGGAGGAGTGGTCACAAGTATACTTCCTTCTGTCATGCCCTGGCCAGGCTCCCCAGAGGACAGATATGCATGCGGTCCCCAGGCAGCAGAAGCCAACCTTGGCTGGTGGACACACATACATACACACACAGGTCCCTTGTCAGCCACTGGCCTTGGTACTACCATCACTACCATAATGGCCCCCACATCAAAATCCAGGAGTAAACCCTCCTGCTGTCTGCACCAACCTCTCCCATCTTGCCTTTGTTCCTTAGTTACTTCCTGAGCATGAACACACTCCAGAGCATACTCTGTTTTAAGATCTAGGTTACCTCAATGACCTAGACAAAGTCCCTGTTTTCATGGAGCTTACATGTCCTGCATTGGGTGGGATAAGTGCTACAAAGAAGAATGGCATATGTAAAGGGGCAGAGTGGTGGGCTGCAGGAGAATCCTCTGCAGAGGGGATGTGGGTGGCAGTCTGAAGGAAGGGACAGAGGCAGCCACCACTTTCCAGGACAGGGAATAGGGGAAGGCCCCGAGGTGAGAGCAAGTGAGTATGGGGAGCAGCAGGGGTAAGTCAAAGGTAAGGCAGGGTTGGTGGGGTGACCACATACAGGCCCAAAAAGGGCTCTGAGCGATACATAAGGAGCAGGAGAGGAGAGAGGTGTTTTAAAAAGATCACTGTGGCTGAACATAGTAATCGAAGGATTACTTGAGCCCAGGAGTTCAAGTCCAGCCAGGGTAACAAGGTGAGCCACTATCTCTTAAAAAAAAGAAAAAGGCTTGGTGCCTGTAGCATAGTGGTTATGGCGCCAGCCACATGCACCAAGGGTGGCAGGTTTGAACCCGGCCCGGGCCAGCTAAACAACTGCCAACAGAAAAATGGCCAGGCATTGTGGTGGGCACCTGTAGTTCCAACTACTTGGGAGGCTGAGGCAAGAGAATCCTTTAAGCCCAAGAGTTTGAGGTTGCTGTGAGTTGTGACACCATGGCACTCTACCAAGGGCAACATAGTGAGACTGTGTCTCAAAAAAAAAAAAAAAGAAAGAAAGAAAGAAAAAGATCACTGTGGCTGCTATGTGAAGAATCTGGAGCCCAGGGGGCAAGGATGAAAGCTGGGGGACTGCTAGATTGTTGTGATCCCACCATGCCTCCTCCAGGCCCTCTGCTCTTTGTCCTCCCTTTCCCCCCACCTCAGTCCCTAAAGGCTCAGGAAAGCCCTTAGGATTGGCTTCCATCCACTCTGAAGGGATGCCTGTCTTTCCTCCCAGCCTCATCTCCCCATACACCACTTATTCCCCCTCCAGGCCACTTTTCACTCACACCATCCTGCTGCCTGCTTCCTTTATACCTTCTTTCCCCTGCCCTTTGCTGTGGTCCAGCCTTGTGTGGCCTTCTCAACCTCACCTAGTTTGGTGCCCTTTCTACTCCCACAACTTTTGGCATCTCCTTTATTTCCTATGCCTGGTGTCTGTCGGGCTGCGTTGGCTCGCCTCTCTGACCCTGGGGCCCTGGAGGGCAGACCTTGTGTTTTACTTAGCTCTAGGTTAGGGCCATCCTAGAGCCTAGCACACAGAAGGACCTCAAAGGCTATGGCTTGTGAATTGGGCCTTGGTTGGAGTTTCCCAGAGTATGACATCTTGGGGAACAACTGTTCCACTAATGCTTGGACTCTGGGGCCCAGTATGCCGGCTTGTGGCCCAAGGATCTGGGGCATCTGCAGGGCTGCCCTGTGATAGGCCCTGAGCCAACAGGGAGGTGGGAGTCAGGGTAGTAGTAGGATACAATGGCAGGAGAGAGGCTAGCACATTGTTTTTCAACTTTTTTTTATCTCATGGCACACTTGAACCTATAGGTAAACTTCGATAGCACACTTAAATTATGTTGATCATAAAAAAAAATATTTTGCTTTGCACTTCTTTCAAAATTAATTTCATTAGTGAGCTTTAAAATTTTTTGCGGCACACCTAGGATCTTCTCAGAACACACTGGTGTGCCTGAAAATCACTGGGTTAGATCCCAGAGTCAGGAGGGCATAGGGACTTGGAACCCTCGCAGGGGCCCAGCAAGGCCAGCCCTCACCCTGCACCTTTGGGTTTCAGACTTGAAACTGCACCTGCAGAGCACTGACTACGGCAACTTCCTGGCCAACGAGGCTTCACCTCTGACAGTGTCAGTCATTGATGACCGTCTTAAGGAGAAGATGGTGGTGGAGTTCCGCCACATGAGGAACCACGCCTACGAGCCGCTCGCCAGCTTCCTGGACTTCATTACGTGAGTGTGCCCTACACAGTCTTCTCCTCTCCCTGGGCAGGATGGCTGCACCTGCAGGAGCTGATCCCTGAATGGCATAGGCCAGTTGCCTTCATGCCTCTGTCAGCCGTCAGCACTGATCTGGCACTGCCTTGGGTCCCCGCAAGGCCATGTGACTTGGCTGGTCATTCAGTAGCCCTGCACCTCCAAGCTACTACTCATAAAGTGGGGTCACCAGCAACTTCACTGCTGGCTATGGTGAGCAGGCAAGATTGTTCCATGCAGTAGTGCTGGATGAAGCCCCCTCTCCCTGTACCCCCTGCATTTCAGAGATTGGTGTGGGGACACCAGGGAAGATAGAGCCCTTTTTCTCACCCTATGGCATTACTGAATACTCACCAGGCCCCACACCTCATGCCAGGGTTGCGTGTCAGGGGATGGACAGGGCTCTGAAGAGTCTGTTCTTGGAGGGGACCATTCAGACCCTCTGGCTGTGCCTGGGCTGAGGTTCATTTGCTATCTTCCCTGACCATGGCTCTGAGTCTCAGGGAGTTGGTAAGGGTAGGTTTGGAGCACAGGCTGAATGTCTAGCTGCCTGTCTCAGTTCTAGCCCAAGCCTTCAGGAGCTCAGGTAGACACACCCTATGCTTATGAGCTCAGCTGCCTCTGCTTTCCCATCATGTCAGCTTTGGGTGCAGCTCTGCCCACACTAAGCTCCTGGAGAAGCTGAGCTGAGGAAAGAACCTTGGGACCTGCGAGGTAGGGGAGGGCACTTGGACTGAAAAGTCTCTACTTGCCAGGTCTCTACTGTGCCTGTGGGCCCCAGGGGGTAGAGAGGCCTCCTCTTCACGGTGGCTTAAGAGCGATGAGCCAAGGCCTGGTGCACAAAGAAATTACCCCAGCCAAGTTGGCTGCCCCATGCAGGTGGTGGCAGAAGCATGATTGATGGCTAGCTTCTGTGAGTGTGCTCTGCATAGGCAGGACATATGTGTGTGTGTGTGGGAAGCATTTCTCGCACTCTTCTGAGTGTTTCCTACTTCCTGATAATGGTGCCCCGACAGTCCTTGGGACATGGCATACCTGTCCTCCTTGTTCCTGCAGGGATAGGGTTAGATGCCTCCTGTCTGGCCTGATTACCACCCTCAGCAGGTAGCAGCCACTTCTGTAAGATTCACTTGCTCAAGTGGGTGCTCTAGCCAGAGGGCTTCATTCTCAATCAGGAGGCACAGGCTGGGATACCTGAAGGGCCAGGATACCTGCCCAAGCTAGGAAGCAAACTCTCCTGGCCACAGGCCTCCTTCCCTGGAAACCTCTCTGCTGTCCTAGATGGGTCCATGCTCACATGGCCCTGGTCCTCGTCAAGATGTACCAACGTGGATCTACTGGGGCAGAAGGCCAGAGATGGGGTAGTTCATGTGCTGCTGTATCACAGCCCCTGTCTGTCCATCCACCCTCTGGCCTGAGCCCCTGTGTCCCCTGTCTCAAGGCCAGAGCCGAGGACATACCAGGAAACAGTGTATTTATTATCAGAGCCCAGCCTGTGACTTGTTTGCACAAGGGTTTTTCAGCTTCCTGGTGAATATTGTGGTCTTGCCAGCTAGGAGGCCTAACCTTTTGCCAGTGGTCAGAGAGTAGATGCCATCTACCCCACTGCCCACTGGCCCACCTGCCTACCTGCTTGTGCATCTAGCCCCTGGCCTCGCTTGCTTGTAGTCTGCCAGGCTATGAAACCTGAGAGGATCATGAGCGTGACTAAGGCTGCACAGTTGCCAGCTCTTTTGGAGGTTGGCTGCAAGCACCAAGTGTATTTAAGCAGCCAAGTGCTGTCCTGTGGCAGGCCATCCGAATCCGCCCCTTCCCCGCCCCTTCCATTCATGGGTGATTGTGGCTTACAGTCCTCTTGTGCACTCACTCCTGCTCTCACTCAGGAAGAACTCAGCAGACACGTGTCAGCCCGTCTGGGCCTGTGGCTGCTTGGTCCATGATCCTGTCATCTCCAGGGACCCTACTCCTTTATTCCTCTACTCTCCACTTTAGCCACCTCCACGGTGGCTACCCAAGGCCATGTCACCACCTGGAACTGCTCCACTCCTGAAATCGCTGAATTTGCACCCTCTCTACCCACGGCCCTCAGGCCCTCCAACCCACTCTCAGTCTCTCGGTGGACACGGGTTCCGGACTCAGCAGGACACTGGGCCTTGCTTCCTCCCTTGCTGCCCCTTTTGTCTTCATTTCCCTCCCTCCCCAGCTGAGGTTCCCTGATCCATCCTTCGAGTACTCTTTTGCCAACATCCGCAGCTCCCTTGGCCGCCTGACTTGTGGTCCCGCCCGGCTGGCAGCCCCCCAGCCCTGGAGGAATCCCAGCAACCTCCAGCCCGGAGCCTCCCTCCCCCCACCTCACTGCCGGGAGCAAAGCTGGGGAAATCGGCCTGGGGGGTCATCCTTGCTGCCAGGCATGTATGCTCACCCACTCAGCTAGCCTCAGCTTGTCCCTGCCTAGCAGCCTCTTGCTCCACCTACTTAGCACCCTGCAGTCCCCCACCAGAACTGGGAAGACCATCTTCCCATTTTAAACATCCCCCCTCCTTCCCTCAGCCTCCTCTCTGGGCAGATGGCTCACCTCCTCCTCCACAAAGACAACAAAGCCGATATGCCTCCCAGTGCTACATCTGTACCTTGCCCCCTGACAGAAGTGCCCAGCTTTTCCTTGGATCCTTCTACAATGTTCTGAATCCCCTCACCTTACTCCCTGGACCCTGAATGGCCATGCCTCTGTATTCCTATCTGTGCAGAATCTTCCAGATTCTTCCTTTCAACTTCTAAACAAGGTCAGATCTCTTACACTATTAAAAAATCAATTTGTGGGATCTAAACTTTTATATTCACTGTCTGTTCTCTCGCCTCCCCCTCATCCCTCAAGCCTCCAGTCAGTTTCCATAAGTCTTATCACTGCACCACAAGCCCCAGGCTAAGGTCTCCTTTGACCTTCATGCAGCCAACTTCTCTAGGCCTGACCACTCTGTGGTGTCCCGTCCCTCCCCTCCAGCCATTTCTCATGATATCTCTGTTTAACTTTTACCTCTCTGGTTACCTCCCCCACTCTGCCCCAACTCATCATCTGCAGTATGTGGAGTATTACAGAGAGGGGCGAAACTTTCCATAGGGGACTGCACCAGGGAAGCGCCCCTAGGCTGGAGACTCATGATTGGCTTCCTGGAAGAAGTGGCTATTTGGCGGAGAGGAGAGACACTTAAGGGAAGACTTGGGGGTGGGGGCTCTACCATGAAGGAGTAGAGTTGAGTATCAAGCATGGAGACCGGGTTCTGTGCTCCCTCTAACAGTATCCAGGTGGATATCCAGTATCTGCTCTGGAAAGAAGGAAGCTACCCTAGAAATGCCCAAAGGAATGTACCCAGAGAGGAAAGTACAGTCTACCAGGTTTTAGAAACCTCCTCTAGAGACCTTACCCTGGTTGTGAAGACTTGAGAGGACAGTGCCATACCTACTAAATTGGCCCAGCTGGGCATAGAGATTGAGACTACCACCTTAGCTCTCTTCCTCAGAGAGCCTCTTAGTTGCCTTCAGAGCTGCTCCAGGATGTCTGGAACAGGCTTCTGCCAACAGGTGATGAGTTCACTATTACTGAAGATATGCAAGGCCTCTTCGGTCCTTCTGTGTGAGATAGTGTCCAGTGTTCAGCCAACACACATGACCAGTGCCTGTTTTGAACCAAGCCCAGTACCAGGAGGAGGATGCCTGGGTGTAATGGGATGGTGGCAGTGGTGGTGTAGACAGCACTTGGAGAGGCCTGTCGGTAGTTTCAGCAAATGAAACTGGGGTCACAGGTGGTTTTACAGCATCCTGAGGACTCAAGGGTCAGGCATGGATAGGCAATTCGAGGGGGCAGATTGCCAGAGCAGAACCAGCTACCTGGAGTGGGGCAGACAGCCTGAGTGAGGTAGGTCCCCTGAAGCATACTTTGTCATGTGGTCTTGAGAGGATCCAGCTCAATTTCCTGTGCTAATATCCTAATGTGTCACTTTACCAAGTCCTGGCTATTAACTGACCATGTGTCTTGGGATACAGCCTCTATTAGGGATTATTGGCCTTGTTGGGACCTTCATCTGGGCATTCTGTAATGTTTTCCCATAGGAGAGTCAGCCCTGTAAGAGAAGCTGAGAGAATTCTTGTGGGAGGAGTGAGCCTGGTCTCACTCAAGGTGGGTCCTAAAGGCCCTTGTCCTTGGATGGGTGAGCCTCCCTGGAGGGGGCATATTCTGGGTACCCACTGGCAGAGCCTAAGCATGGGTAACCTGGGAAAGCTGAGACTTGCATTTCTTTTGTGTCAGGGGCCTTGGTGCCACCAACCTGGAGTGTGCAACTAGAAGGAGACTTGGTCCCTGGACAGTGGTTTCAAGTGCCTAGTGGGCCTGTCAGCACATCTGCCATTCTCTCCAGTACATGTCACCCCAACCTTGAGCTCTCCTTAGTTACAGAGAGGCATCAGGTTTCCCTGGGTCTCTCTACCCTGGCCTTCCTGATCTTGCTGTCCATAATCACAGTTTCAGAGTCCATAGAAGGTCTCTGCAACCTGGGGCTCAAGGTCTGCTGTGGTTTCTGGGCCCTGGGCTGGACCTGGCTCCTGCCTGAGGGAGAACACAGCTCCTTGATGCCCAGAAGGCTCAGATCAGGTGGGAGGAGCCAGCTGGGCCTCTGGGGAGGGGCAAGACCTTAATGAGAATATCCAAGCTCATTAGCTCTGCTATGGGCCACATTTCCCTTATCCTCCTCATCACTTATTGTGACAAATATGTATTGTAGGATTTGGTGGAAAGCATTTCATTTGTTTAGATCAGTAAATAAATATTTAATGGGGGAATGTTTCTTTTTTTACAAGGTCTCCATAGAAATTAATGCACTTGGCTCAGCGCCTATAGCTCAACTGGCTAAGGCGCCAGCCACGTACACCTAAGGTGGTGGGTTCGAATCCCCAGCCCGGACCCGCCAAACAACAATGACGGC